AGCCGTGAAAATATTACAACCTTACTTACGACCTTAACCTGTTAATACTGGTCACCATTTACAACTCCATAAATCACAGTACAATATATTAAAGCTTCCAAAATTACTCAATCGGCATCTTTAATCGCATTAGTAAAAAGAATGGTAAAAACCTTTTCAATGAAGACGTACATATCATTTATCATATAGATCAATTTTTGTAAATCCTTTTTATTTGGGAAAAATAGGTAAGCGCGTAATTACGATAAGAGGGTAAGTTAAGAGAACGATGTTGGCCCCTCGTGGCCTTTCAGACAACGGTTATCCAGTCGGTTTCCTCATGGGCCGGCGAAGTGCGTGAATATTTGATGCTTCTATCGATCATAACTTCTTTGCGACGCTCCACTGAGCGCGCAGGGCGGCCCGCCTGATGTCGGTAGCCGGGGAAGGTAACCGTTTTCGGGCTCACACCAAAAAGAAATCCGATATTAGAAGCAGAATAACATACATACAATGCAATTAATAATAACCGATTTCGTGTGATAATCCCATTCGGTTATCTTCCTATTTATAAAAATTCAAGGCACAAAAAAATTAAAAATGTATCATATCTGTCTGGTCTGCTATGATGTACCTGAAATTTTTAAGGACTGAACAAAGAATATTTTAAGAGTTACTACAAAATTGAGTGAAAAGCAAAAAGAATATACACTGATGCCATTTAAGTTTGTAATGGAGGGCTATCTTCATGATTTATAAAGGCGACCAACGTGGTGGTTAGATGTTAAAAATAGGTTGCAATAGGAAGGCATCAGTTGGACGTTTCGTGAATGTAATTGGAGAGACTGTAAGCGTGCCACACGACACGCCACTACACGGTGACAGCGCAGTCAGGTAGGAGACATCTTGTATGTATTTGCTTCTCTAGTAATTTCCTCGTTCGTCCTTGTATATTTAAGCGGCAGCGTCGTCCGTACCTTTCTCATGCATATGTCATGAGCAGTTGCCGTGCGACGGTTTGTTGACGGTCGAGCCGCGGGAACGACCACCAGCCCTCCACCCACCACCGTCACCACCACCGATAATTATTACGTTCTACTTTCAATTCCGATGGCTATTGGTACCGCCTCACCCGCCGCCGGTCGACCCACCGCTCGCTGGGTCCGAGGGATGAGGCGACAATTAGATTCCCTTCCTTCTCCAATAGTTTCCATTAATGTCACGTTGTGTGTGTTGCATGTATACTCAAATTAAATTGTGGACACCATAAAAGCAGGTTTAGTACACGCACGCGAGGGCAATAACTATGGCGCTTCTGCTTAATGACTACTTAGAAAATATAAATATTGTTTTTTATTTGCTTAATTAAATTTTTTATGACTTAAGAGGCAATGAAAAAGAAATTTCTAATCCGAAATCAATTCTTAAAAAAAAAACAGCATAATGGTAAAATTTTATATATGTAAAATCAAATTAGATAGGTAATTAGGCAAATTGGCAATCTATGATTGAGTGGACATAATGTAGGTGGTATTAGTATGCATTCTGAATATGTATGATAGACAATATAAATTTCTATTCATATATTTCAATTTTGATTTAGAAAAAGATTATGATAAAAAATGACATGGCACCATAAATCATTCACAGCTTATTTTTATGAGTGCGATAAAACCGGTGTCGACTATCGCTATCGTAGCCAATAGAGAATATGCATATTTTTGTTTAAAATATTTTACAGCGTCCGTGTTTAGGACCACGTCTTAATGTCGCCGGCAACCAACATTGATTAAAAACCTTCGTTTAGAGCAATAATTAGTTTTATTTATTTACTTATCTTACTATTATTATCTAATTGCCACAAATTCTAAGTCTAATGGTATTGAGGCACTACGATATTTGGTGATGAGACGACACTTGGGAACTTTCCGAACGCTGCTCGACCGAGTTGGATTCGTCGATTGCCCTCATTGTAGGTACTCACAATCTAGAGAATCTCTCAGAGAAACATTTAAAGAAATAAATATTTTGACTTTTGCCTCTCAATACATCTATGAAAATATTTTGTACGCAAGAAAAAAAATACGATTCCTTCACAAAAAAAAGTACTGTTCGTAATCTTAATACAAGAAATAAAAATAAAGTTGCCGTTCCAAGCTTTAGACTTCAGAAAACCAGAGAATCATTTCTGGGTAAATGCATTGCTATGTTCAATAAAGTTCCACAAAATGTTATTGACCTACCCATAAATAAATTTAAAATTCATGTAAAGAACATACTTATGAGTAAAGGCTAATATAAAGTAGATGATTATTTTAAGGATCGCAATGCATGGAATTAATAGCCTTCGCTTTATTCTATAACTACCAATTATATGTACAGAATCAAAAGTGCTACTTGAATAAAGATAATTTCATTTCACTAATCGATAGTTATCTTTAAAGAAAACCACTTAAAAATTCAGCAGTTCCATGCGTTCGAGATGGGATTCGAACTTTCCACATTCCGTGCGACTGCTCTAACCATAGAACTAACTGAGACCTAGCGGGATTGACGACTTGCTCAAGCACTTGTTACTTGCCCTAAAAAGTGTAATTTTCATCAATCACTTAAACAACCGAAATGCATATTGTAAACTTTCGTTAAAGATGAAAACGCATTTAAATTATTGTTTGATCAATATTGCATTCATGATATATTGATTATGAGAATATTTAAATAAAAACAAATATATATGACATAAATATCGATTTTATATGATATAATACATGTATTGCATAGTATTGATATTTTTAAGTATAAACATAAACTGAAAAATAAACTCAATTTACAGATTAGTTGCGGTGTGTTATTCGGAAAGCAAATGACGACTTTCCAATAATTTTATCATCGGCATCACGTAAGATATATTAGGTGATTGGAAGAATTCCATCAATTTTTTTAATTTCAATCATTCGCAGGAGGTGGGTGAGAGGCTCAATAAATTTGCTACAGAGGCCCGGTATGGCTTAATCCGGCACTGCAATGAGATACACCATTCAGTCCGAAAAATCGTAACATATATTAAAAGTGATTTTTAGTAGTTTAAAATTAAAGAATAGCTTTTTCTTAATTTAAAAAAGCATACTAAACTGCTCAGATTGCACAATCATGTAGCTTAATCAAACGTTAAAGATAGTGTGAAAATGTGGTAGGAAAAAGAGTAACGTGATGTTTGGAAGTTAATTTATTACTAAATTATTCTAAGTTAGTTAATAAAAAATACTCAGACTTTCATTTAATGGAACAAACATATTCAACAATCGCTAGACGTTTGTTTCGCGCCGCCACTATCAGTGTCTGACCTCCGCACTGGCTACTGAGTGCTGTATAACCTTAGTACTTCAACATACTGATATAAAAAGCTTTAAAAAGCTCAGCACAGTTTTGTCACAACCTCTCTGAAAAACTGAATCAACAACTTTGAACAACAACCAGAGAATTGACGTCGATAAATGGTCGAGAGGTGGCAAGAAACCAAAAACAACAACAATAAATAGATAATTAATTAGTTTATTGTTACAGATATTGATTTTAATAAAATAAGTCTTTGATAAAAACTAATGAACTTATACGCAAACCATATAAAACAAAAAATTATGGACATCCCTATTATCCAACCTCACAGGCCCAGTATTATAAGTGGGATAAGTATTATATATCCCTCAGGATGAGTATTGATTATATAACTGATGTAGTTTAAGACCCTCGCTTCACATTTGGTCTTAAATTAACGCTATGTAATCACTACTTTACTCCCCTTGTAGAATAAATAACTATTAAATTAATATGCTATTCATTTACACATAAGATGTTTCTTTGAGTCAGATTCTATTTATCATAAGTATACTGGTGATTTTACTGTAATTAATGGTACTGGTTGATGGTAATTTTAATCACTAAGCAAATAAGATTGAAATTTGCAGAAAGTTAACCTATTATGAAAATTTGCAAGTTTGTATCCTCATTCATAGCCTTAAAAACATATGTAATATGAGTATTTTATTATATCCTATTAAAAGGTTATAACAAAAATAATGATGCTAAATACAATTAATAAATTTATAGACAGAATTCTACAGTTTATTAGATGCATATTGGGTCTGAATATATAAAAAGTTTTCTTTTTTAATGATAAGTTTTAAAAATCTACAGTATTTTGACTTGAATATCATGATGTATTAGTTACTGTAAAAGCCCAAAGTGTGGTAAGTTTTAAGATTTCCCAGTATATCCTAAAAGTTACCGGCAAGAGTTTTACTAGCAGAGTTTGAGAAATGCTAAGATTTACTATTTCTTATTTGTTTATTTAATTAGCAATACTAGTCTAATCCAAGTTGCAGTTGCAATTTATAGCAATATTACCAGACAATATAATTAACATCTCAACCAACAACATTTATACAACTTTGTGTCCTGAAATTTTTCATAGTGACCCTACATCAGTGATCCTATCTCGGGGGTTTTAAGGTAACATGAGGAATCAAGTACTCTCCCAATTTATATACCACAGAAAATCATTGATATTAAAAAGCAGTTCTATCAGTTGTGGGAATACAGTTCAAATGAGAATAGCCTTAATGTGAAAACCAAATGTGGTTGAACAGAAAAAAATCTGAACATTGATATGCACTAAAGAATTAGCCAGTATGAAAACTATTGAGTGGATACCTAGTGGTAATGTTATTCTTTTATATTAACGCTCTATGAAATATTAACATTACAGTAATAACGTCCATCGCCACAGAAATAACAAGTCTGGTTACTTGATAATTCTGTGGCCGCCATCCGCCTCTACTTTATTACTAAAGTAACAATTATGGTAAGTGCATAACATATACTTCATTCACTTTTCTTATAAAACAGTACCATGAAAGATAAATGTAAAAAACTTGCAGCAAATAATCAATCAATAAATTATATACGGGTTATGTGCGAAAACGTATAAGTAACATTAGAAGCAGACCCAAAAAAGAACTTACCTCCAAATCTTGCGATGACTTGAGCTTAGTCTAGTCAGGATATTTAATACACAAAACTAATTGCACTAGATAAATTAAAGAAAACGATAACATTCAAGGCTCCGAAATCATGAACAAAAAAATGCTACAGAAAATAGAAATATGGCGGGCGGACTTAGTGATGTTCAATACGAGTGTACTAACTCGAGCTATCTAGTATAACGATTTGTATTCTCTGGAATTCGATTTTTCAGTAGAATGACACTGACATGGCGCGAAAATTGCCGATCATTTATGATTATAATCATTGGCTACGTTACAAAAACACAACATAACCTCAACCTATAGGTATATATTTTGAGCAATGATAGAAAAAACCGTTTAGCACCAATTTCTCAATAATTTTGCAATATATATTTTTTATTTCAATAAAACAGCTTTTCTTGATATTTCGCACGTCGAGAATGACAATGTCACTAACCAAAAACGACGTATTTTTTACTTTTGGCAACATTTTTCTTTGTTAAGTATAAACTTTCAAATACAAAGATCCCTGTGAATGTAGCTTGCGTAGAAACTGCTAGGTGGCGTAGTGATGATACGTTGTTAAGAGGGGCTGACTACAATTTCTTGAACTTTAAACGCTCATTACTCAAAATCGCATTTTTTGCATTGTGTCACTATCGTTCTCAACGTGCGTTTCTATTTTAAGACAAACTCAATATTTTGTTAATTTATTTATGTAAATGATAAGAAGAAAAGAATGTTATTATTTTATGTTGAAATTACTTATGTATTTATTTATACGTATACCTAAAAGGAGTTTATTTAAGTATTTTTAATAAGATTTTTAATTTTTGTTATGAATATAAATATATATGGTACAGAGAAGTAGTGAGAATAGTACTTAAACTAACAAGAAATTAATTTTCATTTTTAGAACAATATGTTTTCTTTTATTATCAAAAATAGAATATTAATAAGTTACTGCCAAAATAATATTTGTGATAGAATAGTAAAACAGCCAAGTTATATATTTAAGCTTTATATTTTGATTGTAATAATTAAACAATCATTAGCATGAGTAAATATCTATATACCTCTGATATAACGTTAGACTGATATTATTTTGTGAAGACTGCTAAAATTAAAAATATACATATAAATAACTTATTATGAAATAATTCACATTTATTCTTTTAAAACTGCGAAATGGCGCTGACGAGTGTTTTTTATTTATTTTCTTCGTATTTTTAAGGACTTTAATATATTTAAAAAAATCGATCCTGTTTGTGATGACATATAAACTCTTTAATAAATTTAACTCTGCAATGATGTTTACATAGACATACCCTCTATTATTCTGAAGACATAGAGTCTGGCAAGCGAAACGTGTCACAAGAAAAGGGCGGCAATTTCAAAAATTCTTAAGCAGTAAACACTGAATGTAGTACTGCAAAATAATTTTGATACTTTTATTAATTATATTTAATCTTAACATTTAGATATCAATTAAAATTATTTGTTTTGGAACATTTGACTAAAGCGTGACTGTTCTTAATTGTACAGTTAACAGCATATCAGTAGGCCTATTCACTAACTCAACTGACAACCAAGAATCGTCATCACCGTAAAAAATAGACACTTTGATTGTGTCAAAATCACTATTTCGTATTCTCTATCAATGATGAGCAATTTCGAAATGTCAATATCGGCATTCTCCACTGGACTCCATTTTGACACTTGATTTCGTATCGATAAACTGTATTAAAGTAACATTGTTGCAAAGCATATTTGAAGTCGTCGCATAGTACCTCTTAAGCCATTTGTTGTTAAATTAAAGCGAAAAAAAATACGTATCCAATATTTTTCTATTATCTGACTGACGGACTAAATCGAATCTTTTTTTTAACCCATTCGTTATACCTATTGGCTAACAGCACTTATAATATTAAAAATTCATATTTGTCATTAATTAAAAGGGTGTTTTTTGCAACGACTTCTTTGTTTTTTTGTAATGAATATGGGCGACTCTGGCCACATTTTTTTAATAAATGTGATGTTAGCCAATTTTGATTTCTGGCCCTTATATTTATAATGTGTTCATAACACATACATGTCTCCTAAGGGATTTTCATCACAACCTTTTGCTCTGATCCAGAACCACTATCTATCAAATTAAATTAGTCAATATAAACACCAGATTACAATAAAAAAAACATTTATTTTTGTTACAATTAAGTGCCATGGATAAATTACATAATACAGGTGTCACAAAATCATCATGTTAATCACAATAGAAAATTTAAGATAAGATTTTGACTATGAATCAGACTAAAAATACTTTAGTCTGATTCATAGTCAAAATCTGTTTCTAAATATTCTACACCTGATAACAATGACAAGGAATCATCAGAGTCACTCTCTTCACTACTGTCTGCACCAACAGATATAATAAATTTTTCAAGTTCGTTTTCAACAATGCCATCTTTTAATTTGTAATCATTTTCGACATTTAAAACATGATCAGTGTATTTCTTCCAGTCACTAGGGGTAATTAAGTTAAAACACTCTATTATTAAGTTTTCCATTTCCTTTCCTGGTATTCCAATGTTTCTGCTTGCAATTTTTCTTTTTGCTTGACTCCAAACCATCTCTATTGGGTTTAAGTCACAATGATACGGTGGCAGCAATAAAAGTTCATGATTATGTTCTTTTAAAATCTCTTCAGCTTCATATACAGGCAATGTTTTCTTATCATTAACCAAACACATTAACTCTGCCTTTGTCTGATATTCCTCAAAATGTATTCCATTATTTACAAGCCATTTACGGATATCTGCTTTGGTATTAGACATTATAGGCGGTTTATTGATTTGTTTTATATGGTAGCTGGCATTATCCATAACAATTACACTGGGCTTACTTAAATTTGGTATTAATTTTTCTCTGACCCATTTCATAAAGTTCGATGAGTTCATATCATCATGATAATCAGCAGATTTGGATTTACTACTGAACACTAATAATGCACCAGGCACAAAACCTTCCTCAGATCCAGCATGCACAACAATATGCCGTTTTCCAGAGGATATCTTTGTAGTGACACCAGTTGTTGAAGGTCCTTGCCAAGACTTTTTAACTTTATAATTCTGATGTACATAAGTTTCATCAAGGTACACAATTTGCTTTCCTTCGTTTCGTTTTATATTTATTTCTCTCAAATACTTGTGCCTCCATGCAGAAATCTGGTATTTTTCTATAAGCATAGAACGTTCATTTTCATTGCTTTTAAAAGAAAATCCATTCTTAAGCATAATTTTTCATAAAGTCTCACGGCTACCACTGAATCCTATTGCATCTTTTAATTCATTGTGAAGGCTTCTTAATGTTGGAACAATTTTTTTCACACAGTAAAATTCATTTACTTTATTCCGAATTGCACTTAAATCAAAATTATCTAAAGCAGACACTGTTGGTTGATGAGGTCGTTTTTTCCCAGGAGTGTCCCATTTTCCTTTATTAATTAATGCTTCATTTTTTATCCTTCTTAGTGTCCTTATACTTACATCTATAAAAGATTAAACACTTTGAAACAAAGATATGTTAAATGTATTTAAAAGCAAATAATGATAGACACATACATCAAAATAATTTAAATACCTATTCAACTATGAATGCAATTTATGTTTAATTTAGTTAAGTTTATGTGCATATTTAGCATGTATAACAATTACATGGTTTGATTAGTTTCATGAATTCTGTGAATTTCCTTGTTAAACAAAACATTCTTATGACATCATTGGATGTCAACAATAAAAACCAATACATCATAAAAAACCTATGTAAATATTATAGGAATACTATCAATCTATCTTAAATCAAAACAAGAAAAGAGACCTGTCATTGAAGAAATTTTTTGTAAGTACTGCGTTTCCGAATTCAGCATTTCTTGTTTTTCTAAAGTTTTTATTGCATTTATCTCCTCCATTATTGGTTGAATATCACCATCACAGTTATCTGAAATAGAGCAATATTTTATAAAAAATATCTGTTTAGTTAATTACAGAAAATTAAAACGAAAGTATCAAAATTATAATACAAAACTAACCTAAAAAAGATACAACTTTATCTAATCGTTGTAATTTCTCCATGAAATTTTTATTTAATTCAGTTTTCACTTCAGTAAACTTGTCAATCATGATCGAAAGAAGTTTCCTCGATGAACTTTTTATCGGCTTCGACATAATTTTTAACCAAAAACACAAGTTCAAATTCGCAAAAACAACAAAATTCAATATTCTTGAATTGTCTAACGTAGTGTCAAACTGACAGTTCTATGTTGTTGCCATATGAAAACGGAAAAATAGGTGGTGTCACGTTTCGCTTGCCAAACGAGTCTGGCAAGCGAAACGTGTCACAAGAAAAGGGCGGCAATTTCAAAAATTCTTAAGCAGTAAACACTGAATGTAGTACTGCAAAATAATTTTGATACTTTTATTAATTATATTTAATCTTAACATTTAGATATCAATTAAAATTATTTGTTTTGGAACATTTGTCTAAAGCGTGACTGTTCTTAATTGTACAGTTAACAGCATATCAGTAGGCCTATTCACTAACTCAACTGACAACCAAGAATCGTCATCACCGTAAAAAATAGACACTTTGATTGTGTCAAAATCACTATTTCGTATTCTCTATCAATGATGAGCAATTTCGAAATGTCAATATCGGCATTCTCCACTGGACTCCATTTTGACACTTGATTTCGTATCGATAAACTGTATTAAAGTAACATTGTTGCAAAGCATATTTGAAGTCGTCGCATAGTACCTCTTAAGCCATTTGTTGTTAAATTAAAGCGAAAAAAAATACGTATCCAATATTTTTCTATTATCTGACTGACGGACTAAATCGAATCTTTTTTTTAACCCATTCGTTATACCTATTGGCTAACAGCACTTATAATATTAAAAATTCATATTTGTCATTAATTAAAAGGGTGTTTTTTGCAACGACTTCTTTGTTTTTTTGTAATGAATATGGGCGACTCTGGCCACATTTTTTTAATAAATGTGATGTTAGCCAATTTTGATTTCTGGCCCTTATATTTATAATGTGTTCATAACACATACATGTCTCCTAAGGGATTTTCATCACAACCTTTTGCTCTGATCCAGAACCACTATCTATCAAATTAAATTAGTCAATATAAACACCAGATTACAATAAAAAAAACATTTATTTTTGTTACAATTAAGTGCCATGGATAAATTACATAATACAGGTGTCACAAAATCATCATGTTAATCACAATAGAAAATTTAAGATAAGATTTTGACTATGAATCAGACTAAAAATACTTTAGTCTGATTCATAGTCAAAATCTGTTTCTAAATATTCTACACCTGATAACAATGACAAGGAATCATCAGAGTCACTCTCTTCACTACTGTCTGCACCAACAGATATAATAAATTTTTCAAGTTCGTTTTCAACAATGCCATCTTTTAATTTGTAATCATTTTCGACATTTAAAACATGATCAGTGTATTTCTTCCAGTCACTAGGGGTAATTAAGTTAAAACACTCTATTATTAAGTTTTCCATTTCCTTTCCTGGTATTCCAATGTTTCTGCTTGCAATTTTTCTTTTTACTTGACTCCAAACCATCTCTATTGGGTTTAAGTCACAATGATACGGTGGCAGCAATAAAAGTTCATGATTATGTTCTTTTAAAATCTCTTCAGCTTCATATACAGGCAATGTTTTCTTATCATTAACCAAACACATTAACTCTGCCTTTGTCTGATATTCCTCAAAATGTATTCCATTATTTACAAGCCATTTACGGATATCTGCTTTGGTATTAGACATTATAGGCGGTTTATTGATTTGTTTTATATGGTAGCTGGCATTATCAATTAGACTGGGCTTACTTAAATTTGGTATTAATTTTTCTCTGACCCATTTCATAAAGTTCGATGAGTTCATATCATCATGATAATCAGCAGATTTGGATTTACTACTGAACACTAATAATGCACCAGGCACAAAACCTTCCTCAGATCCAGCATGCACAACAATATGCCGTTTTCCAGAGGATATCTTTGTAGTGACACCAGTTGTTGAAGGTCCTTGCCAAGACTTTTTAACTTTATAATTCTGATGTACATAAGTTTCATCAAGGTACACAATTTGCTTTCCTTCGTTTCGTTTTATATTTATTTCTCTCAAATACTTGTGCCTCCATGCAGAAATCTGGTATTTTTCTATAAGCATAGAACGTTCATTTTCATTGCTTTTAAAAGAAAATCCATTCTTAAGCATAATTTTTCGTAAAGTCTCACGGCTACCACTGAATCCTATTGCATCTTTTAATTCATTGTGAAGGCTTCTTAATGTTGGAACAATTTTTTTCACACAGTAAAATTCATTTACTTTATTCCGAATTGCACTTAAATCAAAATTATCTAAAGCAGACACTGTTGGTTGATGAGGTCGTTTTTTCCCAGGAGTGTCCCATTTTCCTTTATTAATTAATGCTTCATTTTTTATCCTTCTTAGTGTCCTTATACTTACATCTATAAAAGATTAAACACTTTGAAACAAAGATATGTTAAATGTATTTAAAAGCAAATAATGATAGACACATACATCAAAATAATTTAAATACCTATTCAACTATGAATGCAATTTATGTTTAATTTAGTTAAGTTTATGTGCATATTTAGCATGTATAACAATTACATGGTTTGATTAGTTTCATGAATTCTGTGAATTTCCTTGTTAAACAAAACATTCTTATGACATCATTGGATGTCAACAATAAAAACCAATACATCATAAAAAACCTATGTAAATATTATAGGAATACTATCAATCTATCTTAAATCAAAACAAGAAAAGAGACCTGTCATTGAAGAAATTTTTTGTAAGTACTGCGTTTCCGAATTCAGCATTTCTTGTTTTTCTAAAGTTTTTATTGCATTTATCTCCTCCATTATTGGTTGAATATCACCATCACAGTTATCTGAAATAGAGCAATATTTTATAAAAAATATCTGTTTAGTTAATTACAGAAAATTAAAACGAAAGTATCAAAATTATAATACAAAACTAACCTAAAAAAGATACAACTTTATCTAATCGTTGTAATTTCTCCATGAAATTTTTATTTAATTCAGTTTTCACTTCAGTAAACTTGTCAATCATGATGGAAAGAAGTTTCCTCGATGAACTTTTTATCGGCTTCGACATAATTTTTAACCAAAAACACAAGTTCAAATTCGCAAAAACAACAAAATTCAATATTCTTGAATTGTCTAACGTAGTGTCAAACTGACAGTTCTATGTTGTTGCCATATGAAAACGGAAAAATAGGTGGTGTCACGTTTCGCTTGCCAAACTCTAGTCCGTAATGGTCAGATGTAAGATCGTTGAATACAAGTTTATTAATCGGATCATAATCAGAATATACATTATCCAAACAAGTGGCTGAATGTGCCGTTACTCTAGTAGGTTCAAGAAATTGATTAAAAAGATTGAAGCATTTAAATAATGATAGCAAACGAACGGATGTTGAACTGTTCACTAGAAGATCTACATTAAAATCACCACATACAACCAAATATTTGTTCTTTGTCTGTAATTTCCTTAGTGCATCTTCCATCACAGATTCAAAAGTTCCATAGTCACTATCAGGGGGTCGGTATACACATACTACAATCATGCTATTTAGCTCCACACAAGATAGCTCAATATGACGTTCAACTGAAAGATTCACTATATCTTTACGCTCCTTAAACTTGAAATTATTATTTACAAATATTAATGATCCTCCCCGCTGGGCTCTCCTACGTGTATATGAACTAAGCATTTGAAAATTTTTTAAATGAAATGACTTTTCACAAGGCCTCAGCCAATGTTCCGTTAAACAATATATATGAACATCATGTTCTTTTGCAAATAATTCTAATTCTAAATCTTTGCCAGCCAAACCCTGAATATTTTGATGAATAATATTAAAATTAGTAGATTTGACTGTTGTCTTACCCTTTAGTTTAAAACTGAGTTGGAAATGGGTATAGTACTATTTACGTTAGTAGAATTACTAACACAGTAATGAGACTTTGTTATATCAACTATAACAGAATTTTTTAAATTGAAAGCTAACAGAGTAGCTATCCGAGTCCTATATAACTTTGCTAGGTACATAGTATCTATTGTCAACTTAAATTTACTAATATATTTGTTAATGTCAAAGTATAAAATATCATCGCTATGATGAGATATCAAATTATAGATATTTAAATTTAATTTATATATGCGTTCATTTTGTTCTTTAGTGTAGTTATGCACATAAGGATAAGCACTAATTATCATTTTACAATTTGTTTCCGATTGAATTTTTAGCAACTTTTTAATATTAATCAAAATGTCCCGTGTTGAAGTTAAGGTACTGTCACCACATAAAATAATAATGTTAGTGAAACTATCCAATTCTTGTGGTTTAATTTTATTAACAATGTTATTTAGCGATTGTCCTGGAGTACAGAAAAAAACATTAGTTCCCGAAATCAAACAAGATGTCGCTGCGGTATTTTCTTGATTTCTTCATGATTCCGTTTCCATCCCATTCCATCCATCCTTCCGTTTTTCTTTCATGTACAAAAGTAAATTAATTTTCAAAAACTTGATAAACAACTCATATTATATTTGTACTTTTTCGTATATGTATTGATGTCTAAGTTACAAAACTATGAAATATTCGGTTTTTTAATATGTTAAAAGGAATGGAAATGTTTAGCTTTGGTCCATTAGTTTCCTGCAAAAATCAACTTTTGCTAGAGTCGCCATCTAGTGAGGTGCTTTTTTAGTGCCTTCTTAATGAGATAGACTTTAGGCACCGTACCATAGAGTAAACAATCTTATGCTTGAGAGTTTTCTCACTCTCTTCAGTAATTGGTCGACCAAGTATCAATACAAATACATACCTAAACGATACTACTCGTTACTAGGTTCTAAAGTATCATTTCCAAAATACTTGGCATCGAATGAAAAGTATTGAGTAAGAACTTATATCTATTTACTCGTATCGTTTCATCAGCTCCATATCATCGACATCCCTATTAAATAACAATAATACGTCAACGGAACGTCAATGTCAGACATATCACTTCTTTTTTTTTATCAAAAAAAAATATAGAATGAAAAATAAACATCGAACTGAACTATTTTATAATAAATAAAGTGAATTTTGTGCAATAATTATACTGTGCATTTGGTTTTATTTATAAAAGTTTTTTTTTTATATGGATAATTAACATTTTATGATAGTCGTGTATGGTATTTTGCTCTGAGTAAATTAACAAATCCAATCCTTATGTTTTATCACTATATGAAATGAAAAATGAATAACAGTTCCGACTTTATACTATACGAGCTTCATTGCTCTAAAGACGCCCTTACTGACAATTATGGATGGTTCATGCAATTCTTATTGGCTGTTCTTGCTTTCACTTGCTTAATCGGTAAGTATTACCCAATTATATAAATTATCAAGGTTACACTTGGGCTTCTTTTATATTGAATATGCAACCGATTTTATTGCAGGGAAAAGATTCTGTGAACCTCGATATGCTAGAAGACCATGGCTGATTTGGTTTTATGATACATCAAAACAAGGACTAGGAGCTCTCATCATTCATGCAGCCAATGTGTGGCTCTCTCCACATCTCACTGGTAACCCTTGTACATGGTAAGTAAAATACATACTATAACAGTGCTTGACATTAACAATTACATTGGCAAATTGTTGATTAGTAACTTTTACTAAAGAAGTACACCAATCTGACTGTAACATGGATACATTTTGATAATGTGTAAAACTCTAATATGTTTTTCACAAATAAATATTATTATCATATTCTTTCTGTCCTGCACCCGTAGCATGACAAACTCGAGAAATGCTTTGTCTACACTCATTTGTCAGTTTCTCGGGTCAACAGTGAGATATCATATGGGCGCACCCAAGAAAAGTGACATTTGAGTGTAGACAAAACATTCTTGCAAATGTCATGCTATGCGTGTTGGTAAAAGTTAATGAGAGACTCGTACACAATAGGCCATAGCATCTATCCAATGCTATATAATATTATTATACGTATGAGGGTAATGTGGCTTTGATAAAACTATTTTTTATGATATTATTTAATGAAGTTGCTCATAAACAAACCAATGCCTTTTATTTTTTATTTAATGGAATATTAGGTTGGAGCATACCTAGAATTAATGATTGGTTATCTGTTTTACTGTTCCCAGGTATATAGTGAACTTCATGTTAGATTCTACCCTTGGTCTTCTCATTATTTGGGCAGGAATTAGACTTGCTCAATATTGGGCTAGAGAATATGATATACCTCTTATAAATTTTGGTGAATATGGTAAGTTATATTTTTTTATTGCCTTGTAAAACTTGTCTATACAGACCTTCTTGTCTATAGAGGCCTTCTTTGCTAAGCAGATCTACTGATTCAGATGATAACCAAATTCATAGTGAGTCATTTCAATAATCATAAGGTGTTAAAATATATTATGCATTAGTTGTCCTTCTCTTTGATACTTAGGGGGGTGGGGACAGTGGATATTACTGATTTGTTCAATGGCATGATACTTGAATTATTCTGATTAGCAGAATTTGCCATGATACAAAATTAAGGATCATGCACAGATACATCAGTGAGCCACATCAGTTTCATCTTTCTGAAAAACAAGTATAATTTGTACATTTTACAGTAAAGATTTAAAACTTAGCAATAAAAAAGCTTTTTGTGTCACATACCATATTAATTCATGTTTAATTTTCTTTTCTTGTGGGTAATTTTGTAAATTTTATTTGTAGGGAAGCCTCCAATGTTCGCAGCATGGATATGTCAGTGCATACTGTATGCAGCACTGGCAACATTTGCTAAATCAGTATTAGCCCTGGTTTTGCGATTGCCACCTGTGACAGCACTGCTGTCCAACCTGCGGCTGTCGCCTGTTACAGATCCGCGGCTTGAGCTTGCCGTAGTAATGCTCATTATACCCTTCTTTGTTAATGTAAATATAATTTAATTAATTACTTTTATATATGAGCCTCTTATGCAAGGGTGACCAAAAAACTATTGAGCTCATGCAGTCATCTATGCTTCAGTAGGTACATTAACCTGTTAGCCTCGCTGTATCTGCAGTTGTTAATACCCATCAATCCACTCTTGGCCTTCATGTTGGGTTCATCTGAAAAACCTGTACAAAAATACAAAAGGTTGTGTAGTTTCAAAAGTTATAGTTTAGGATAACTAATAACAAAGTAACAGACATTTTATTGAAATAAAATGACATATCATTCTCTTGAAAAGTAGAGATTTCACATCAGTAACTTTTATTGGATAGATTGATTATGCAAATATTGAATCAAATGTATTATTTGCTTATCAATAAAGTAATCACTTCACTGAATGTAAACTTATATTGAAGACCATTGTGCTTTAAAGTTAAACATATGTAAATTAATTTCAATTCTTACAGATTTTAATATTCTGGGTAACAGACAACTTTCTTATGTATCATCCAAGAGGAGTCAGTTCGAAAATTAAAACAAAGGTAAGTTGTTATATTATCTGAAGATAATTTTATTTACGATAAAGGTAAATTCATGTTATATAATGTGATAATATTTTGTCAATATTAATATAGTGAGCAAATATGTAGCCTCTAAAGTGTTGTGTTTGTTAGCCGCTAAAGTCGGCTGGCAGTTCTATAATACAAATGATTCATAGGCCACTATCAGACAACAGTGATAGATCACTAGAAGTATCAGCATTTATTACCTAAGTCATAAAACAAATACAAACTCTTACAGTGTTTTTAATAAACAAGGTTTAGCGTTGGAGTAAATTTACACTGAGACTGCACTTAGTATTAGTCAAAATTCATGTTATTAAACAGAGACTTAGCAATGGTTAAGCCTACTACGAGGTTCTACGAGAGTTATGTTTACTCCTAGAAGGTAGTAGGTTTGCTTATTCTCAGTATAACATGAATTAGAACAAATATTAAAATTGAAATTTTACACTATTAATATCAAACTACAATTTACGCATCAAAGTTGGTACTTTAAATTAAATATATGTAGTTAACAGTTATTCGTCAACCTAAAAGTCTGTTTAAATTCAGGTGCGTTACCAATCTATTAAGAAAGAAAAGTCAGCATCCGATGAAGAAGAGCATTCAGCAGATGAACGTCTACTGGGAGCTAATGTATGACCATACTGCAAGCCCACGGTCTTTCGGGCATAATCAAAGTTATTGACAGGTTTTCAGTTATTTCTCGCCCTAGCCACATAATGTTGTAAGATCCTATAACAGTTTAAAGCATCGCATCTTTTAATTATTACTAAACTTATTCGACGTTGGGAAAAATGTTTTATGCAGAGTAACCTAGAGTATATATAAAACAACCAGTGTTTGCCCACTTTAAAAAATAGTGTCTATATGTTGGTTGCGTTGATGTGGATTCGCTAAATAGTGCTGTGATTGATTTTTAGTAAATTTATAATTAATAATTTGTGAAGTGAAAGAAATGCGTTCTAATTTATCACAGGTGAAAGTTAGTTACTTTTTAAAGATTACTTCTATCATCCTATTCTAATCATTATAAATGTACCTTGACCAAATAGACTGGACAGACTCACGCTGAGAACCTCCCAGACTCGTGAATGGTAAATATTTGTGAGTGAGTGAGTCTGTACCGCCTAAAACGATTGTCTTTGACGGATACTAATGACTCAATAAGGGGCCGTCCATAAATCACGTGAGAATTTTTGACCTCCCCTAACCCTTGGTTATCACCAAGGGGCACATGGCGAGGTTTGAGACACCCCCCCCCCCCTCTATCTAAATTACGTGTATTTTTAGTACCAGCAAAAAACTTAATTTTTGACGTCGCTTTTCGATTTAATAATCGTGCGTCGAGGGAAAACTAAATACACGTGATATATTACTATACCCCCACTCCACCCCCTTGTGTTTTTTCGTGATTTTTTACGAACCCCCTTACCCCTTTCGAGCCTCACGCGATTAATGAACGGCCCCTAACTAGTTTACAATTTATTCTCACGACATACGGCTCCTTAAAGAATATTTCTGATGCGATTTAAAATTGCATTATTTAATTTAGGAATAAAATTATAATCGGTGAACAAAATTTCAATACGTTAAATTATATTCACGCTTTTTTCTTTACATTTTTAGCCCACTAACAGAAGAGATAAAAAAAGAAAAGAGATGTCTTTAAAGTGGCAGCTAATTATTATAAACCTACATCCAGAAGTTTATTGATTTTTGTCAATTTAACTACAGTTAGTTAACTTCTATTAAAATAAATATTCAATTATCAATTTTTAATTTACATGAATAAAAACAAATCTTACTCAGCTATAATATGTTCTAAGTGCTTAATAAAGAAATTGTATACTTATATATTTTTTTCCTATATCTAATAAATATTTTAAGAACGTGCATCAAGTAACAAATAATGTTGGCGAAACATGAAAATTGTATATAAATTTATTTGCCTTAATCAAGGGTTAATAATTATTTTATTTTATAGCTCTTTAATTTTATTATCTAAGCTCAAACAATATTACGTAGCGAGGGCCAGTATATTTTATCGATATAATCGTAGATTATAAGCGGATCATACAAATTTTATTGGAAATTTCATTTCATATCAAATGGTAAATAAGTACAAGTATTTGATTGTTATGATAAAATAAATCTTTTGGGTAATTATATTTTGCGGTCTTGTGTTACTTTGATAACTGTGCCCTTTACGCAAATATAGCGGAGATCCTGGTAACATAACTATGAACGTCATTTTTTATTTTGCCATACGATTTAATCCGTCTATCTATATAATAGTTCACGGAAAAAGTTTCTTCGCATTTTATATGAAAATTGAAATTAAAACATTTTTTAATAAAATTTATTTACATTTAACTAAAGTATGTTAAGTTATTTAAGTTTTTGTAATGTAATTTATATAAATTCTTGCATGTGTTACGAATCTTAGTGGTTTACATGATGCAAGTAAACCAACTTATGTTACCATAAAGTTTGTTGATAATTAAATAAAAATAAAAAAAAAAGTATAAGATGGCAAAAGTAATCGAACAAAATGTATCATTTTGTTAATTTGTAATAAAATTAAAAAATATATCGAATTTTTGAATTTTTAAGCCATAAAAGATTTTATTACAAATTAATGCATTCTATATGCGATAAAACTTTTTCCCCAACCCAATATATAAGAAATCAAGTGCTGTTCGTTTGTCTCACTAAAACTCGGGAACGGCACGGGAAATGTTTGTCGTAGTCCAGGGAAAGTTTGAAAAAGTTAAATGGTGATACGAAGTCCGGAGCGCTTGGTGTAAGTTTTTTTGACGTTTACGTTCACAGTTGAGATTTTAGTGTGGACTCCGGTACAGCGCCCCTAGCGGCAACTACCAAGAACTACAAATCTCCATACAAATTCTTAAACCTAAAATGAGTGGTAAGTGTAAAACTTACACTTACCACTCAGGTTATCTAGTAAATAAATATTGCAATAAACTGTTACCGATATCATTAACACAGTGATATCGTTTTTTGGTACATTTTAAGCGGAATTTGTATTACGAAACTAGTTGCATGACATTTGTTTTATTGCAAAGATTTAGCTAGCATTTGCACGAACGTTCAGTTCCGCAATGCAGGAATAAAAAACGATACGCATATTTTTTATTAAACTAGTGCCATGCATCCAATTTCACAATGATTTACATGGCGAAACTAGTGCGTAGTCACGGAGCAAGTGTCTCAAAGGTACTGTTTTACGAAACTAGGCTTTATTATATTATAATATAGTCAACGAATCGATTAATATTAATATGGTATTGATCTTTTGATTTTTAAAACATTTATTGTAAATGGTATTCAACATAATGATTTTATTGACAAGTTACTTAAAAATTTAAATAAACACGCTAAATATCTAAAGACCATTTCACTATAAAAATCTTTAAAAACAACATCTTTAAAAATATATCTTTTTCTCGTTTTAATCACAAGTTATGTTACGATTTTTCTATTAATAAATAATATATTTCTCATACAACCCCGTAATTTCTCAGCTAGGGGTGATCTATTTAAAACTATTATTTGCGCAGACAAAATCACGGGCACTTGCTAGTTATAACTTAACTAAATTTGTTGGAGTCGTAGTTACATTAGCTGATAACTAAAGCGTTTAATTAACTTACTGAATTTGTAACACAACAGCTGTTGTAGAACGCATTTGAAATATGTTGAAATTAACTTGGCATTGTGTATGGGTACTAAGTGGAAGACTTGTATCATTTTTTTTGTTAATATTGTTACGATTTAATTATATATAACAAATATAAAAGCTTTTTAGGTGAAAAAACAAAGATATATTTTTATATGTTTCATTTCTAGAATGAAATTATTTATAATGTTCCTAATGTGGTATAAATACTTAGGTTTCAAATTGAATTGTGCCATTTTGATTTTATAAAAGTTTACTCTAACGTCGATTAAAGACTGATAAGGTCATCTAGGATAATATAGACCTTCCTTCAACTAATATCTATGTCACATAATCGAATCTTCCGATTTGAACTTGTTTTACGCGTTATCATTATGTCAACGAATGTAAATAACTTGATCCTAAAAGAATTTTCCATTAATCGATGGATAATATATAAAATTAAGAAATTGCTGTTATTTTCGAATCCTTATACAAAAGGTACTTTATTTGAATTGGTTTAAGGTTTTTTTAAATATCGATATAATATTGTACTTACATGTTCACCAAAACTTTGACCAGAATCTCGTCAATAAGCTTAACATATTATCGAATATTCTTATATATATATATCTTATAAGCAATTAGTTATGAGCTTAATGATTCCAGAAGATTTTTATTTGACCATCAATAATGTTATTGACAGCGTTACAGGTAATATTAGGTTACCTGAAAAATATTTTTTTTGTCATTCATTAGGCTGACATTGTATAAGCCTTAAGGCTACAGACACAACACAGGTTTTTCCAAAACCAGATGTGTTGTTGACTGTACTTAGGTAAGAAAATGTTTATTATTGTGATGACATTAGATATCATGTAAATATTAAGCAAATAAGATTTGTATAAACTGAAATGTATATAATAATTTGTATATTTGTGCATATGTTTATTGTTTGTGCGAATATAATTCACATTAAGTTTACCGTTTTATTGTTTGATTCATTATTATTGACTAACGGTCAGTTGCACAAACGTCAATTAAGGTTTAATAACAACATTAATTCTAATGAATGTTCTTAATTTAAAATGTTGTATAGATAATGTGGCTTTAAGCTAATGTCAATTTTAATGGACGTTTGTGCAGGTTAACACCTACCCCCGGACTAAAGTATCCCTGAGTCCCCGTCCCAACCCGTGGTGGGACCTGCCATTTTCAGGGTGGACCGAATATGGGGCGAATGGCGTGAGATATGGTCCTTTTAGGACCCATACCGTGCATCGCCCTGTAGCAAGGGATATTGGTGATTTTTAGTGGGTTTACCCCTGTTCTTTGACTAGCGCCGTTCTGGGGTGGATCCGCAGGGGAAGTCCCACATAACTTCAGTTAGGCACGCTGGCGGCCCGGGGTAAACGGTAACACATTTTCCATCGTAAAAAAAATATTAATACCTATCCGGTTTTCGTCATTTAATGGGCATAGTGACTGAGTCGCCGAAAACTAAAATCCTTAAAGAAAACGAGTTTCTATGGACAGTATACTTAACGCAAACACCTGATGAAAGGAAGGCTTAAAGATTCCAGAGTCAGACTGACCCGAAACTACACCGAAGATAACCTGGACGTCAGCCCGGATGAGATTAATGGTGGCAAGGCGGTGGGTGATGATGGAATTACTGCAAAGGTTCATCTGAGAAGAAGCTAGGCGATAAGCAGATACTTAAAAATCCTTTTTTAGACACTCTTTAATTCTGCTATCCTCGAGGGCAGAACGCTAAAAGCATGGTGTAAGAGTGGAATCGTCCCAAAAAGACGATCTGAAAAATACTTATAAATAGATTATTTAATTGTTTTTCTGAACTCTGTTATAGTTTTTTTTAAACGATTATATTCAAATTTGGCTTTCGTATTTTTTAAGTTTATTGTATAACTCGTATGATTTTGAAGAATAAACTCCCCTCAACTAATTAAAAATCTACTTATTCTGTTGAATGGTTGTCTTAAGAGTATTAAACCAATCAACAAAAAGACGGCTGTCCTCCTTTTTTTAGGTCTGTTAAAAATGGTCTTTGATATATTATCTCAAGGGCAAACGTGGTACCCAATGTAAGAACGTAAACAACGATTGACCGATAGTAAGCTATGAGTCGATACCTATGCAAGTTGTATTGTTGATCGAAGTTGGGCGGTCGCAATTCGGCTCATGGCTCATCTCTCTCTATCCATAGCTCATCTATGGTCCTACGAAAAAATTATGCCATACCACACCTTGACGCACACGACATGAATTCGAACTTTTTCGATACGGAGTTTCGCTGGAGTTAAGTCACCATGGTAACTAGTAATTTAATCTATTGCACGTTTTGACAATGTTGTAAAAGCGAGGATTTTGTTTCAATTTTATTTTTATTTCTATGAATTACTTAATTATAAATAGTTTTGTTTAATTGCTATTGTATGGACATACAAAATGAATGAAAGTGAATTAAGAAAATTATTGCAAACTAAAAATGGGTGTCGGGTTCCAATTATGTTACCGATTCCGGATACTCATAAAATGGAAAAGCTACCATTTACTCCATTGCCACCTTATAATCGGATCAAGGTAAGCATTTAAAGTTTAAGTATTTATGTAATTAAATCAAAAAGTGCGACGCCGGGCGGGCAGCTAGTTTATTTATTATGAAGATTTGCTACTGTACTCGAGCACTATCGAAGACGTACAAGAGCATCATGGTTTAATCATGTCGAATTTACCTATTGCCCAAATATGTGTATTAAAAAGTGCACTGAATTTGTAATAAAAAAATTGCCAAATACCTCATTTAATTTTAAATATCATTTTATATAATATATCATATACCTAGTTTTGGTCATTTTAAAAGTTACGAGAAAGCAAACGTTGACGCATAGTATACACTAGTTTTGTCTCATTGCAATATTGGGTATGTTCCGATATACACTGCGAGCACTGCGCAGTGGTCTTACTGCTGAAAAATCCGTTCCGTTATGGACTGCCAGTACACTGCTACAGTACCGTAGGGAAATTTATGACGTCATGAATTGCCGCCATATTTGTACTGTGAGCACTGGAGGTTTCGAGGTAAGGTGCTCGCAGTGCTTTTGACCACGTGATCAGTCGAAACAGATAAAATAAAATACTTACGTTTATTATAAGATGGATTTAATTGAAAAATATTTTTTTTATACAATTTTCCAATTTTATAATATTTTCTTTTGAAAAGAGGGAATCTTTATATTTATATTCACCTTGCATTAACAAATTTGAAAATGGCGCCAAAAATAGGATTAACAGTATACTGGACTGCGTTCCGTTTTAAAAAGTCACCAGTATGACTAACTATAAAGGAACGGGCTTCCGGTATACTAAATTGACGTCATACTGTTCAGTGGTCGCAGTGTATATCGGAACATACCCATTATAAATCGTTTTCGGTAAAGTAATATATTGTCTACGCGTTAGTTACTTAATATGAGTTGTTTATTAAGTTTTGAAATTTATTTACTTCTAAACATGAAAGACAACCGGATGTGTTGTCATTGGGAAATCAAGAACGTACCGTAGCGACATCTAGTTTGATTTCGGGAACTAATTTTTTTTTAATACTTCCTCATTACTAAAAAAAATAGAATATCCGATGAATTTGCCACGGGCCTTAAACAGTATAGTTACGCCACTGCCAATCAAATACATATACATAACACATAGCTTGTACATTTTACTGACTGGTGCGATTCGGAATAAATATTATTCTTAAATCTCAAATTATTTTATAACATTGCAGGATAAACAGGCTAAGTTTCGAAAAATCCTTGAAGAAAAGGCCACCGAAAGAAAAGTAGAGATAGCACGTCCCCTTTTGGAGCGGTGCGAACGTGATCGACTTGAGATATCACAGTCGAGGCACATCGCTGTTTTACGAGAGTGTGCTGAGAAAATACAACCACCACCTATGCTAAAATCTTGGGAGAGAAAAATATATGGATTAATTCCATCGAAATATCGCCAAGCTTTTCCAACTCTTACGGATGAACTGATTAACGAAAGCAAAGCCGAATGGAACCGAAATCTGCATGATCTCGCTGTTAAGACTGTTATTCGTGATGTACCCGGAGTTTCCCGTAAACGATATCAAGAACCTTATTTTAAATTCCATGGAGTTACACCTAATTATGAAAAAATGCTTAAGCACAGAAACAAACTTCAAGATGGTTCGTTGTTGTTACATCCTTTTATAAGACTCGTTCTCGAATCATCAGAGAAAACTTTTCCAGCGTGTATCATCAAATTGGCAAATTACAGGGCCAAGGGACCAATAGATTTAGAGCAGTTTCTAAATAAGATAATGGAAGAGATCAAACGTGCTGACTACCTAGTGTCAAGTACGTGGTATGCCATATTAGTGCACTGGTTGAAAAATCCAAGGTGTTTGAAAGGCATGCGACCCAAAAAGATACCGGATTTCGTAAGATGTGCAACTAAGATGATATCTATGCAGATACAAGAATTAATGCGTAGGTCCATTGATGCTTTAATAGAGGCTCTTAAAGATCCTGAGTCTGTTCCTATTCTGAATATCGACTTAGACTTTGATGGCGATTTTTTCTACGATCCATCATTAGAAACTGTGTTCAAAGCTTATCATGATATTGCCAACGCCATATCACACATATCACAGAGACTTATGCCTATTGAACAATATCTTAAAATACCCTATACCCATGATGCTTTACCAGTAAATTATAATGAATGGCTATTTGAAGATGGTCATAGACGATTACAAGATCAACTAAATGAAGTTTTCGCTCCATTACTTAAATATACAGATCGTTTGAGACAAGAATATTCTATGTTGTATGGTACTCCAGCAAAAGAGGCCTTATTAACTTTCATTGAAGAAGCAATTGAATTTGAAGAAAGCCGCGATAAAATCAAATACTTTCAAGAAATCGATTCTGAAATAACAGCTGTCTTAGAAAATGAATATTTTAACTGCGCTGTCGTTTGTCAATTAAGAATGGTAGATGGATTAAAACGTAAAGCTTTAGAATTCATAAATGATATCATTGCTGGAATAGTTAAAACTCACATGGATGAAAATCATAGTATATGCACAGAGTTTGAAATTATAGCAGCTAAAGCATTAAAAGAACCTGAAAATGCAGCTGAACTTGTTGAACAGGGAATTTATATTTTACACGCTAAAACTGTTTTGGTCGAAGCACTTAAAGAACGCATTCTTAGGCAAATCGAAATAATTTCAAATCTTTTAGAAATGACCTCTCTTACGAAAGAACATGTTGCATCAAATACACGAACTGTGAATTGGTTAAAAGATATTAAACCTATTTTTGATAAAAATGCTGCCGCTTATGAAACGTTTAAAGCCGAAATGGAAGATAATCTGTTGGGTAAAATTGCTTATCTTAATAAAGAAGTTGTGGAAATGACGCCCTATTTGGAACTTCTTGATAACATGGATGACGTTAATCATACTCATGAATATTTGGAATATTTAAGAAAGCTAGTCCATCGCTTAGCTGATTGTGATAAATTAGTCGTATGGATAAATAACGAGGAAGCTACTTTTAAGTTCCCTATAACAAGTTATCCAGATTTAGAAGAATTAAAGGATTACATATTACCATTTTACAGTCTCATACATTTAGTTCATCGCTGGAAAAGGAGTTATTATACTTGGTTGGATGGAGTTTTTGAATATTTAGATCATAATCAAATTGAACAAGATCACGACTTCTACTATAAAGAATTTTTGAAATTATCAAAAAACTTTAAGAATAAAATTAAACAGCAAATTGCTGAAGGAGTTGAAAAAAGATTCCAAGGATTAGTAGATGATCCTGACGTTAACAACTTACCGGCTCCATTGAAATTATGTGCTCAAGCCATAGCCGAAATAAAAGAATGGAGACCCAACGTTCAAATGGGACATATTATGTGTAATCCAGCATTGGTGCAACGACACTGGGATGAAATGTCAGGTATAGCTGGTTTTGACTTGACACCTACTGCAGGTACAACCTTAAGAAAAATTATTGAATTCAATTTGTGGAGTGAGATAGATCAATATGAAATTATCAGTGTTGCAGCCACAAAAGAATTAGCTTTAATAACTAACCTAAATAAGATGATAGCAGAATGGACAGATATTTGTTTTAAAACGAGTCCATATAAAGATACTGGAATATTTATTTTATCGGGACTTGATGATATACAGAGCGTTTTAGACGATCATATAGTAAAAACAGTAGGCATGCGGGGATCCGCTTTTGTAAAACCATTCGAAGCTCAAGTAAGGACTTGGTATGAAAAAATTGTAAGAGTCAATTCTACTATAGATGAATGGGGTAAAGTACAAAGTCAGTGGTTATACTTATTACCTATCTTTTCATCAAAAGATATTGTAGCTCAAATGCCAGAAGAAGGTGTAATGTTTGTTGAGGTAAATAATATTTACCGCCGATATATGGGTTCAGTTGACAAAGACCCACATGCTCTAGAATTGGCTTCGGGTTTAGGTGTTCTAGAATCCTTCAAAATTGCTTCGGGAATGCTAGAAAAAATTAATGATGGTGTTAACAATTACTTAGAAAAGAAAAGATTGTATTTTCCTAGATTCTTCTTTTTATCGAATGACGAAATGTTAGAAATATTGTCCGAAACAAAGAATCCATTAAAAGTGCAACCTCATTTGAAGAAATGTTTCGAAGGAATCAATAGATTGGTATTTGATGAAGAATTTAATATTTCATCCATGATTTCAATGGAAGGAGAGCAAATTGAATTTTTAGAAATAATTAGTGTAGCTGCTGCTCGAGGTTCGGTAGAAAAATGGTTGGTTCAAGTAGAAGAGCAAATGCTTAAAGCTGTTAAATATGAAACAGAATTATCCTACTATGAATACCCTACTATGGGAAGAGCAGAGTGGATATTATCTTGGGAAGGTATGGTAGTATTAGCTATATCGCAAATTTATTGGGCTATTGATGTTCATGAAGCATTAAACACACACAAATTAAGTGAGTTGCAAGCGTTTCACACAAGCCTAACAAAACAACTGAATGAAACAGTTGCAATTATACGGCGCACAGATCTTAGCAAACTGAGTAGTATTACTGTAAAAGCTTTAATAGTAATTGATGTACACGCCAAAGATGTCATTTTTGATCTGGTTAATAAAAATGTCACAGAGGTAACCGATTTCCAATGGCTATCACAGTTACGATATTATTGGGAAGAGGAAAGGGTATTTGTTAAAATTATTAATGCTGTTGTCAACTACGCATATGAATATTTAGGAAATTCTGATCGATTAGTGATAACACCCCTAACTGATCGATGTTATCGCACGTTAATAGGAGCATATTACCTTCATCTAAATGGTGCACCAGAGGGGCCAGCTGGTACAGGTAAAACTGAAACAACTAAGGATTTAGCCAAAGCACTTGCTGTACAATGTGTAGTCTTTAACTGTTCAGACGGATTAGACTATAAAGCTATGGGCAAATTCTTTAAAGGACTAGCTTCTTGTGGCGCTTGGGTTTGCTTCGATGAATTTAATCGAATTGAAGTCGAAGTGTTATCAGTGATAGCTCAACAAATATTGTGTATTGTTCAAGCAGTAAGGCAAAAAATGGAATTTTTCGATTTTGAAGGAACGACTTTAAAGCTAAATCCCGCTTGTTATGTATGTATAACTATGAACCCTGGTTATGCAGGTAGGTCCGAGTTACCAGATAATTTAAAAGTATTATTCCGAACTGTTGCGATGATGGTTCCAGACTATGCAATGATCGGAGAAATCTCTTTGTACTCATTTGGTTTCATGGATGCTAGAAACTTATCTGTAAAAATTGTAACTACATATCGCCTATGTTCGGAACAGTTATCATCTCAAAATCATTATGATTATGGAATGAGAGCGGTGAAAACAGTATTGTCTGCTGCTGGAAACTTGAAAAGGGCTTTTCCAGTCGAAAATGAAAGCATTTTACTTTTAAGATCTATTACCGACGTTAATTTGCCCAAATTTTTATCCTTTGATGTACCTTTATTTGAAGGAATTATATCTGATTTATTTCCTGGGATTTCTTTACCTAAACCGGATTATGTAAATTTTTTGAATGCTTGTAATGATGCATGTGAAACGAATTGTCTACAGCCAATGGAGTGTTTCCTCATTAAAGTTATTCAAACATATGAAATGATGATCGTAAGACACGGATTTATGTTAGTCGGTGACCCTTTTTCTGGTAAATCGATGACTTTAAAAATTTTATCTGAAGCATTGACTTTAATGGAAGAAAGAAACCAGCCAGGTGGTTGTCAGTGTACCTATAAAGTGCTGAATCCAAAAGCTGTCACAATGGGACAATTATATGGAGCTTTTGATCCTATATCTTACGAGTGGACTGATGGCATAGTTGCAACAATGTTTAGAGATTTCGCTTCAGAAGATACTCCAGTTAGGAAATGGATAGTGTTTGATGGACCAGTTGATGCAGTATGGATAGAAAACATGAATACGGTATTGGATGACAATAAAAAGCTTTGCTTAACATCAGGTGAAGTCATGGCAATGTCGAACGTAATGTCTATGATATTTGAAGTTATGGATCTTTCTCAAGCATCGCCTGCTACTGTCTCCAGATGCGGTATGATCTATATGGAATCAGCTTCATTTGGATTTATGCCTTTCTATAAATCATGGCTTAAAAATTTAAATCCTATATGGCTAGAGGAAAATGAAGAATATATTTTTAATATGTGCGAGTGGTTATTTGATCCTCTAATTTATTATATTAGACGGACATGTATACAACTTGTTACTGCGGGAGAGGTCAATTTAGTAATGAGTACACTCAATTTAGTCGAAATGTTAATGGACAATGCCATAGAAGGTGAAGAAGATACAAAATATACTAGAACTTGGTTTGTGGCATCTTTTATGACCGCTCTTATTTGGGGATTGGGAGGGATATTGAATACAGACTCACGAGAAAAGTATGACGACTTAGTTAAAGAATATTTTAGAGGAGAAAATGGTATTCCACCCGAAATAGATAGAATAGATGTTTCTATTCCAAGCGAAGGTTTGCTTATTGATCATTACTATATGTACAAAGGTAAAGGCTGTTGGAAACTATGGCCTGAAGCAGTTAAGGCTGTACAAGTAAAAGAACAAATAAATCTTTTACAAACTGTTATTCCCACCTTAGAAACAGAAAAATACATATTTCTTTTGAATATACATACGAAATTTACAAAGCCTTTACTGCTCATAGGTCCTACGGGAACAGGGAAAAGCTTCTACGTACAAAACTTTTTAATGAATTATCTTGACATGGATAAATATACCCCAGGATTTATTACTTTTACAACCACCACTTCTGCAAATCAAACGCAGGAGCTAGTTATCTCAAAATTAGTTAAAAGAAGGAAAAATAATTATGGCCCCACAAAAGGTAAGCAAGCCATAATATTTATTGATGATATGAATATGCCTGTTAAGGAAGTATACGGTGCACAGCCGGCTATTGAACTATTAAGATTATACTTTGACCAAAAGCATTGGTACGATTTAAAAACCACTGAAAAATTGTATATTTATGATACTATTTTTTACGGGGCTATTGGTCCGGTAGGTGGCAGTCGGCAACTGATATACCCAAGAATGCTGCGACATTTTAATATTTATTCAATCAATGAATTTTCAAAAGAAAGTATGACTAAAATATTTACTTCTTTGTTGCAACTTGGGTGGAGAAGAAATGGTTTCGGCCAAGATACACAAGTGTATATTGTTAATATTATTGCCGCGACTATGGAAATATATGATCAAGCAACTGAAGGACTAAGACCAACACCTGCCAAGTCTCATTACATCTTCAATTTAAGAGATTTTTCTAGGGTTATCCAAGGATGCGCATTGCTACGCAAAGAATCTGCTGATAATAAAAAAACTTTTACAAGAGTTTGGGTGCATGAAATCATGAGAGTATTTTATGATAGATTAATTGACGATAGCGACCGTGCTTGGTTCTTTGATATTCTAAAAAAATGCACTCGAGATTTTATGAAGGAAACGTTTGAATCAGCTTTAGAACCGTATCTAGAAGAAAATGGTTTAGTCAGTATGGAAAGTATAAAAAAGATGATGTTTGGCTGCTACTTAGATACAGAAAGTTTAGAGGGCGAGAGAAAATATGAGGAATTGCCTAACAAAGAAGCCCTTTTGAATGTCGCAATTGCTATGTTGGCTGAATATAATACTATGCATAAAGCTAAAATGACTATTGTTCTATTCGATTATGCACTGGAACATCTGTCTAAAATATGCCGACTTTTGTCTATGCCGTCAGGTAACGCGTTATTAGTTGGAGTGGGTGGTTCTGGTCGACAATCATTAACACGATTAGCTAGCACTATCTTAGGACAACAAGTGTTTCAACCAGAAATCACAAAATCATACAATATAAAAGACTGGCATGACGATATAAAATTGGTACTGCGGGAGTCGGGAGGATTAAACAAGGATACTACATTTTTATTTACAGAGAGTCAAATAAAAGAAGAAACATTTATACAAAACCTTGACAGTTTATTAAATTCAGGTGAAGTTCCAAACTTATATGGTTTAGATGAAAAACAAGAAATACTTGAACTTGTCCGACTTGCCGCTCAAGGAGGAAATAGGAATCTTGACATAAGCCCACTTCAAATTTTGGCATTTTTCGTTGGAAGATGCAAAGCTAAACTACATGTAGTTTTATGTTTTAGTCCCATAGGGAATGCGTTTCGTACAAGGCTGAGATTATATCCTTCTTTAGTAAATTGTTGCACAATTGATTGGTATGATAGCTGGCCAGAAGATGCTCTGGAGATGGTTGCTCACCATTACATGATTAAAGTTAATGTCCCTGACAAAGTAAAATTAGCCGCCGTTATAGCATGCAAACAATTTCATGTTGATGCACGATACGTATCCGACGACTTTTATAAGCAATTTGGCAGAAAAACGTATATCACATCAGCATCATATTTGGATTTAATTAAATCTTTTACATCATTAACAAATAAAAAACAAAGGGAGCTAAGAGCAGCTAAACTACGATATACAAATGGTTTGGATAAACTTGAACAAGCTGCTGAGGCAGTAGCAGTTATGCAAAAGGACTTGAATGCTTTAAAACCACAGCTTATAGTAATGGCTGCCAAATCTGCAAAGATGATGGAAGAAATTGAAAAAGAAACTAGTATCGCTGATAAAGCTGCAGCACAAGTAAGAGAGGATCAAAAAGTTGCAAATGTACAAGCGGCAGCCGCTCAAGAGCTAAAAAAAGATTGTGAGGCAGATTTGGCACTTGCTTTACCTATATTGGAAGATGCCATTGCAGCGTTAAATACTCTAAAACCAGGTGACATTACTATTGTCAAGTCGATGAAAAATCCACCAGCTACAGTTAAATTGGTAATGGCAGCTGTTTGTGTTATGAAAGGTATTCCCCCGGATAAAATACCAGATCCTGACAATCCGGGGAAAAAAATGTTTGACTATTGGGGACCAAGCAAAAGAATTCTTGGTGACATGAGCTTTTTAGAGTCTTTAAAAAGTTATGATAAAGACAATATACCTGTGGCCACCATGCAAAAAATAAGAAAAGAATATTTATCTAACAAAGATTTTAAACCCCATATCATCGCTAAAGCTTCTACAGCAGCTGAAGGGTTATGCAAATGGATTATCGCTATGGATATGTACGATGCAGTTGCAAAAGTTGTAGCTCCAAAAAAGGCCAAACTAAATGCCGCGGAAAGAGAATTTGCAGAAACAATGGCTATTTTAGAAGAAAAAAAAGCGACTGTTGCGCGTTTGGAAGCCAAACTAGCGGAACTCAATGCAGCGTTAGAAGAAGCCAATATTCAAAAGAAAGCTTTAGAAGATGAAGTTCAGTTATGTATAGATAAATTGTTTAGAGCTGAAAAGCTAATTGGAGGTTTAGGTGGCGAAAAAGTTCGATGGACAGCAGCTGCTGAAAATTTACAAAAGTTATTTGATAATTTAGCAGGCGATATTCTAGTTTCATGTGGTATTATAGCATATTTAGCTCCTTACACTTCACCGATTAGAATAAAAATTATAGATAAATGGCGTGATTTAGTAATCACATTAGCTATGCCACACTCCGAGCAGTTTATATTCAAAGATGTTTTAGGAACTGATATTAAGATTCAAAATTGGTGCATTGCGGGTTTGCCACGAGATTCATTTTCCATAGATAATGGCATAATCCAAGATAATTCCATGAGATGGTCTTTGTTGGTTGATCCTCAAGGACAAGCAAACAAATGGATAAAGACAATGGAAAAATCAAATGATCTCCAGGTATTAAAATTCACAGATGGAAACTATATGAAGGTAATAGAAACATGTTTAGAATATGGTAAACCAGCTTTAATTGATTGTATTTTAGAAGACGTAGAAGCTCCCTTAGATCCTGTTTTACTCAAACACACATATATGCAAGGCGGTAAAGAGTATATTGCATTAGGAGAAAATGTTATAGAATACCATCCCAATTTTAGGCTTTATATGACAACTAAATTGCGAAACCCACATTACTTGCCCGAAGTCTTCAACAAAGTAACCTTGATAAATTTTGCTCTTACTAAAGATGGTCTAGAAGATCAACTTCTGGGAATCGTAGTTGCAAAAGAAAGACCAGATCTACAAGAAAAAAGAGAAAAATTAATTGTTCAAGGAGCAGCGAATCGGGCTGCCCTTAAGCAAGTAGAAGATGACATATTACGTACCTTACAAGAAACAAAAGGTGATATTTTGGAGGACGAATCAGCTATTGAAGTCTTAGATTCATCCAAAATATTATCAATTGACATAATGAAAAAACAGGAGGCTAGTTTAGAAACCGAAATTATTATAGAAAAATTTCGACTGGGATATAGACCGATAGCATCCCATTCTGCAGTTTTATATTACTGTGTTACCGAATTACCAAACGTAGATCCTATGTATCAATATTCTCTAACATGGTTTATTAATTTATATATTATCTCAATCGAAAACGCTAATAAATCTAAGGATTTAGATAAAAGATTAAAGTTTTTGAAAGACACTTTTACGTATAATTTGTATAGTAATGTATGCAGATCTCTTTTTGATAAAGACAAACTAATGTTTTCATTCATAATGTGTTCTAAGATGATGTTGTCTACTGGAGAAATGAGTCATGAAGAGTATTTGTTTTTAATAACTGGTGGTATTGCTATTGAAAATCCATTTAAGAAACCGCAGGATTGGATACCTGATAAAATGTGGGATGAAGTATGTCGTTTAACTGACCTTTCGGCTTTCAATGGATTTAAAGAAAATTTTTTGAAAATTATCAATAAATGGAAAGAAGTGTATGACGATTTAGAACCTCATAATAAAGTTTTACCCGGCGGCTGGGATGACAAATTGTCACAGTTTCAAAAATTGCTTGTCATAAGAGTTCTTAGACCAGATAAATTAACAATAGCAATGTCCGATTTCGTTGAAAAACAAATGGGCCGAAAGTACATAACACCACCTCCCTTTGATATAGGTAAATCTTTTGGTGATTCTAACTGTCTTGCTCCTTTAATATTTATATTATCTCCAGGTTCAGACCCAATGGGAGCTTTAATAAAATATTGTGAAAGAATGGGATACTCACATCGTTTTAATTCAATTTCTCTAGGACAAGGTCAAGGTCCAATAGCTAGGGCAATGATTGAGAGGGCTCAATTAGAAGGAGGTTGGGTCTGTTTGCAAAATTGTCATTTAGCAGTTTCGTGGCTACCAGTTTTAGAAAAAATTGTAGAGGGTTTTGATTTAACAAATACAGATTTGAGTTTTAGATTATGGCTCACTAGTTATCCTTCTGATAGATTTCCACAGTCAGTTTTGCAAGTGGGTGTAAAAATGACCAATGAACCGCCAACAGGACTACAACATAATTTATTTAGATCTTACAATTCGGAACCTTTAAAGGAAGCGGAATTTTTTGAAGGATGCCCTGGTAAAGATAAACCGTTTAGCAAGTTGTTATATGGTATTAGCTTTTTCCATGCCGTTGTTCAAGAAAGAAAAAAGTTTGGCCCATTAGGATGGAATATTCAGTACGGTTTCAACGATTCTGATTTCCAAATATCTATAATGCAATTGCAAATGTTTTTGAATCAATATGAAGAGATACAATATGTGGCAATAAAATATTTAACAGGAGAATGTAATTATGGTGGCCGAGTAACTGATGACTGGGATCGAAGATTAATTGTAACTATTTTAGACGCATATGTGAATCCTGGAGTTGTTAATGACCCTAACTATTTATTTTGCGACATTGGACCACAATACGGACTTCCACGTAGATGTGAATATCAAGATTATTTGAAACACATCGAAACAGTACCTGTTAATCCACCTCCAGAAGTGTTTGGCCTTCACATGAACGCAGGCATAACTCGTGATTACACTATCTCAATGGCTTTGACTGCAGCGTTGGTCCTAGTGGAAGGTGCAGGAAGTAGCGGTGAAGGTGGTAATACTGAACAGATTCTTATGCAAATGGCATCTGAAATTTTGACGAAGTTGCCACCGAGCTTTGATATTGAAATTGCACAAAAAAAATATCCAGTTGATTACAATGAATCAATGAATACAGTACTTGTGCAAGAAATGGAACGATTTAATAAGTTACATAAAGAAGTTAAATCATCTTTATTAGATTTACAAAAGGCGGTGAAGGGTCTTATCGTTATGTCACCAGCATTAGATAATCAAGCAAATGCTATGTTACTTGGTCGGATCCCGACAAATTGGCAAAAGGTATCCTACCCAAGCTTAAAACCTCTACCCAGTTACGTCGCAGACTTTATTGAACGCTTGTTAATGTTAGAAGATTGGTACCAAAACGGAAAACCTTCCACGTTCTGGTTATCTGGTTTCTTTTTCACACAAGCATTTCTTACTGGTTCTGTTCAAAATTTTGCTAGATCGAAAAAGATTCCTATAGACTTGTTAGTATTCGATTTTGAAGTACGTAAAGTCGATTACGAACAGGTGCCACCTGCATCTGGAGTTTATGTTATAGGTCTTTTTATGGACGGCGGCCGCTGGAATCGAAATAAGTACGCGATAGATGAGCAACACCCAAAAATATTAAACGACAATATGCCTGTTCTATGGTTATATCCTAAATTGAAATCGGAATTTCAAGAAGGTACGCGATACAAGTGTCCTTTGTACAAAACGCTAGAAAGGAAAGGTGTTTTAGCAACAACAGGTCATTCTTCTAATTTTGTATTAGCCTTTTATTTGCCGTCTGATAAACCTTCAGCTCATTGGATTAAAAGAAGTGTCGCCTTGTTGCTCCAACTTGATAATTAATCATTTAAATATCTACTACTATTTCTATTCGTAGAGATTTACTGAACTAAGACTATGAATTTATAGTTTTCTAATCGTTTACCAAAATGTTGATGTGTTAACATCCCGCTATAATCATTTTTCCTACGTTTGTTTATTGTAGTTTCATCATGACATAACTTAATAATTTTACGAATTATAGGAATCTGTTATGTAGACCTCTAATGCTTGTATCAAGTCACCATCCAGTTCGATAAAATTAATAAACTGTAATTCTTTTTTGCAACCAATATCTCACGAACTGCTGAAGTCTTCTTTATATCACGCCAATCCGATGGGATCATGTCTTCGCTCATTTCTAAAATGAAACACGTGAAGCGGGTCGTTCCTTTTCTTTTAATTTAATTTTATCATTAAATAGATAACATATTTAATGCGACCACTGTTTTGGAACATCATAAAATAGAGTAAAGCCTTAATGAGTCCCGTTATATTAAAGCGAAACTAAAATTCGTTTTAATATCGATAACCTACCTAAGTTTTAGGAACAGCCCTGTGATTTTGTAAAAATCCAAACCCGAATTCGAATTCACTCAGGTGTCAGAATTCAATTCAAAAAGCGGCATAAGTGAAGTGAGTTTCGAAATGACATAGAAATAGCATATCTGAGACACGTACAATCAATCAATTTTGTTTAGTATTTTTATACCAAAAATAGAATCAAAATATAATTGTTTTTACTTAATGACATGAATTCGGACACATGAGTGAATTGGAATTGGGGTTTGGATTTTTACAGAATCGCAGGGCTGTAATAAAAAATGTTAATATATTTGGAACTACTATACACCTATCACATGAATGTATTTAAGATGTTATAATTATCATTCTTTTTTATATTATAATAATACTAATAAATCACACATTACAAAATACGAAGAAATTGTTTTATTGATTTTTAAAGTAGATATTATAATTTTATTTATTTCCCGGGAGTTTTCTTGATTAATTCTTTTCTGAGGTTCTCGGTTTCCACTAATTTTCGTCGAAGTTTAAGCATGATAGCATTGTTTCTTTTCTGTAACATACAATGCTATTTTAAGCTTTAAATTTACAACGAGCACAATATACAGTCCAGTAAGACAAGCCAGTACTGGCGTCGTGTTAATGACGACAAATCTTAAGCTAACAATTCGAATGAAATTAAAGATTTCTATTTTTTTATGGAATATCATTCTGTCTCTCTGTATCATGTTCTCTTATGTTCTCTTTACTCCCGCGCTAGAGTAATGCACTTACTCGTTTAGTTTTTTTTTGTTGACGCTAGGAAATGCATTACTGCATACCCGCTCCCCCCAAAAGTCAAAGTCAAAATAATCTTTATTCAAATAAACTTCTTAAAAGTACTTTTGAATCGACCAACATTTTTTTCCCACCACTCGTTCAGGACGTCTTTTGGCTTAAGAAGAACGAGCAAGAAACTCACCAGCTCTAATAGGAGTAATGACATTCACAAAAACCATGTCATTACCAGATCAATACATTATAATTAGAAAGAGAAATAAAACATCATCATCATCAGCTGGAAGACGTCCACTGCTGAACATAGGCCTCCTCCTTTGAACGCCACGACGGACGACATTGCGCCAGCTGCATCCAGCGGCGGCCCGCGACTCGGACGATGTCGTCCGTCCATCTAGTCGGGGGTCGACCTACGCTGCGTCTTCCAGTTCGTGGTCTCCACTCGAGAACCTTTCGTCCCCATCGGTTATCGATTCGTCGAGCGATGTGGCCTGCCCACTGCTACTTCAGCTTACAAACTTTGCTATGTCGGTCACTCTAGTTCTTTGGCGAATATCCACGTTTCGGATCCTATCGCGCAAAGAAACCCATAACATAGCTCTCTCCATGGCACGTTTCAGTGCCATAGGTCATCACTGACAACACACACTGGTTATACACATTCGTCTTTAGGCACTGTGGTAATTTGGACGTGAAGATATCGCGTAGCTTCCCGAACGCTGCCCAGCCGAGTTGGATTCTTCGAGCGACCTCTTTTTATAATTAAAACATAATCATTTAATAATAATGGAAACAATCATAATAATAATATACTTCATTGGACACAACAGAACAATAACAAGTTACAGAGAATAAAAAAAAGTATACAAAAGGCGACCTTATTGCTAAGCAGCAATTTCTTTCAGGCAACCTATGGAGGACAAAAGATAAAAAGGATAAAGATTATATGGGGTATTGAGTGCAACGATAGGAAGGATACAAGATATATCATAATAAAAACAATATACAAGGAGATAGAATTAAGATAAGGAAAGGAAATGGCTTTTAATTCTATCACCAAAAGAACTAAGTGAGCAAGATTTCCTGATATCCTCCGGAAGTGAGTTCCATAACCGCACAGAATGCACAGACAAGGAGTAGGAGAAAAAGTCGGTAGAATGACGAGGAATGTCCAAGGCGAGAGGAGGACAAAACAAGATAATATTTGATATATAATGAGTTTTGAAGTAATCACCTATCCAGCTGCTGGATTATCGTAAGTCCAAGCATTCTTTTGTGTTATATTTAATTTAAATAAAGCGTACACGAAGACCCCTGAATGAGTAACTAACTTTTTGCAGTCTAGTGATAGGCACCGTTAATTTATTATCAGGTCCTTACATATAAAATTGGCGTATTGTCGTACTGGCCACTTTAATCACCAATAATGAAAAATAGAAGGCTATTGTGGAAGCGGATCCATCGCAAACCACGTCCGAGTTAGCTGCAGGCTGCGGTGTTAGCGATAAAACTGTTTTAATCCACTTGAAGCGAATTGGAAAGATTAAAAAGCTTGAAAGGTGGGTACTTCAAGAATTGAGTGAAGCAAACCGGCAAACGCGCTTCGACTGCTGCGTTACATTACTTAACCGGCACAATAATGAAGGGTTTTTAAATCGAATCATTACCTGTGATAAAAATTGGATTCTCTACGATAATCGGAAGCGCTTATCGCAATGGTTGGACCCTGGCATGCTAGCCAAATCCTGCCCCAAGCGAAAATTGATCCCAAAAAAGTTACTTGTAAGCGTTTGGTGGACTAGTGCGGGTTTCGTTCATTACAGTTTTCTCAAATTGGGCCAGACGATTACGGCAGACGTCTATTGTCAGCAATTGCAAACCATGATGGGAAAACTAGCTGTTAAACAACCGAGGCTAGTCAATCGCTCTACGCCAATGCTACTTCAGAACAACGCTAGACCACACACTGCACTACAGACGGCCACCAAATTAGAAGAGCTTCAATTGGAATGTCTAAGACATCCACCGTACTCCCCGGACCTTGCTCCAACAGATACCATTTTTCGAAATTTGGATAACTTCTTGCAAGGGAAAAAAATTCAACTCCGATGGGGCAGTGCAACTCGCCTTCAAAGATTTTATTGATTGTAACTAAAGTATTCTAATCTGGCAGTATCTATGTCAGTTAACCTACGTATCTTCATTACGGCATATGCTGCAGGGCTAAGTCTACTCGACAATTTATCAATATGTGTGCCCCACTGTTGTTTAGAATCTGATGTTATTCTAATGTAAAAATACTGTGGTATCCACAAGGCCCATGTTCTTATCTTTTATATTAAAATTTATATCTACTTTTTTAACATTAGGTAGTACAAATTTTAGGCGTTTTGTTTTTCCTTCATTTAGGGGATGATTATTCGAGGTCAATGCTTCATGTGGGGCTCTTTTTTGCGGACCAGCCCTCAGAAGGAAGGCTAGTCATAAATCAGGGGTAAACCACACCTAGAGATCTCCAGAAAGGCGATACATGGGGACACCCTAAAGACCATTTCTTCAAAAGTGTTCAAACTGTATGTTTGTTTTTCTAATTTGATACTTTCTTACATATTTGTATATATATATATATATATCATACGCGGGTGATGAACGGGGTATAATTTAATAACTTCGTCTCGCCTTACGGTATCTATATCAATATTTGAACGAATATCATCATTTAAAGCGTTCTTACCTTTAGTATTGTACATTCCCTTTCAATGCTGTCACATTCTTTTTCCACTGTATTTATTTCTTTAAACAGTTGTTCATTTTTAGCTAATTGGTCCTCCTTTTCAATTGTCGCATTTTGTTCTTTTTCTGCATTTACATGTCGAGCCCTTTTACTTAATTCTGAAAAATATGTTAAGATGGAATTTGATGAATCTTGGAAACTCGAACTTCAATTTCGGTATTTATGTTAAATGTACCTATTAGACACAAGTTAAACTACGACATTGGCAAACACTGATAACTGTCAAAACTATTCAAAGTTTCGGCTTATTCCGTTATTCCATCCTGAAACAGCCATCCTAAGGTGGATACTCGGAAACGCGTGTTTATCTATCGACCCTGAATGGGATGGATAAATGGAAGTCACTTTCGAATGTTCTTTCGATTTTTACCCCATTTTTTAAAAGACTGTACACAGGCGGGGGAAAAAATCGGAAGTAAAATTATGATGCAGATTCCTTCCTGTTATCTACCCCGTTCATGGTGGATATATAAACACGCGTTTCCGAGTATCCACCTTAAGGTGACTGTATCAGGGTGGATAAACAGAATAAACCAAAGTTTCAAGTGGCGTAAAAAAATGATTACTCAAAAGAAAGGTTAGCCTTCTCTTTTTTCCACATAATGAAGCGCTTGTGTCTTTTCTGAATAAATTATTTAATAAGCTCTCTAACCATATAACATACTACTTTATTTACTTAAAATTTATTAATATATCATCATGTGAACTTGTGGAATATTGTTTTACAAAATCAACATTATTTTTAAGTCGTAACTTCAAGTTTATTTGGAAAAAAAAATAAATGTTCTATCTAATATATTCCAGAAGATGTATAGGACATTTGGTTAAATGTTTACAATAACAAAATATTAGATATCGAACTTTCGGAAAACCTATATTTGGGACGGTGCGCACGGTTTTGGTCCATAGTGCACCACCGCGGTAGAGTGGCTCCCACGCCATTTATACGTGTACATTTTCCCGGTCGGGTCAATTTATAAATTTTCATTTTGGATGTTTCTGGGGTGCTATTGTTGTTCCCGGTTTATGCAACTTAATATTTAAATTTCATTACTATCAGAAATATTG